GAGCAGGACAGCCCCGCCAAACCCAGCCCGGCCCAACCGCCCCGACACTGCTCAGCCCCGGCAGAGCCGCCCCCGGTGCGAGGGACCAGCCCAGCCCAGCCCAGCCCGCCCCCCGCCCGGCCCTGGCGCCAGCCCGGCGCTCCGGGGCCGACACAGCGCAGCCCCCGCAGCAGGACCGGCCGACGGGGCGGGGGAGGGCACAGCAGAGCCCAGTCTGCACCGGCCAGGAGGGGCAGGAGGAGCTGCCACACTCTCATCCCTGAGGGCAGAGGCTGGGCAGGGTGACCCCCACACCACACGCCCCACACGGCCAGGGACGGACAGATGGACAGAGGGGGGCTGGCAGCCGGAGGGGCTCCGGGCACCAGCCAGGTGGAGCAAACACCTGAGCACTCGCTGGCTCTGGCACCCCTGTCTCGCTCACAGGGGGATGCCGGGGCCCCCCGAGCTCTGCCCCCTGTGCAGCAGGAGGGGGTGGCCGGGTAGACACCCCCCCTCTGCCTCCCCAGGCATGCAGGGACTGCGGGGAGCCCGGAGCAGCGGGTGCCAAGGAGCAGGGGATGCAGCTGTGGAGGACCCCCCTCCCAGCCAGGGACGGGGTACAGGCTGCAGGGGACCCCCCCTCCCGGCGGGGCAGCGTTAGGGGCACAGGGAGGACGGGGCTGGACTGCGGGTGGCAGTGTGCCCACCGTGATCCCCGTTGGAATGCTCGCCTGGGGAATGCCTGGGGGGATTAGGCTGAGCCCTCCCTGCACCCCGGCACAGCCTGCCCGGGCCTGCCCGCCGGGGGCCGGGGGAGGCCGAGCCGGGCCGGGGTCCGTCAGCGGCGGCAGAGCCGGGTATCCCGGTGGGGAAGGAGGTGAGAGGGCAGCGCCTCGGCCGCCACCGACCCGGGACACGTCACCGCCCAGCTCCCGGACAGGGTCCAAGGTCAGCCCCCGCATTCCCCCGCCCAGACTAAACACGGGCGGGGGCACCGCGTCCCGAGGGGCACCCACCGGCCTCGGGCCAAGGCTCTCGCGCCGCGGGGGGCCCTCGGTGTCCCTGAGGCTCTGCTGCCGCCAGCCCCGGTGACCCCCGCGCCCCCGGCAGCCGATGACCCAGAGCCGCGGCGCTCCGCGTGTCCCCGTCACCCACTGACCCCGCCGCCGTCCTGCTGCCGCTCCCCCAGGGGGCTCCGGTGTTTCCCCCCGAAACTCAGCATTCGCAGCGCCGCTTCCCCAGCCCCGAAGTGCCCCGTGTCCCCGGGTGGTGAACCCGCTGCCCTGTCCCTGCTGTCCCCAGCCCGCCTTCCCCGGTGTCCCCAGTCACACCAGCCCAGGCTCTGCGCCCCGTCCCTGCTGTCCCCGGTGCCTCTAACCGGGGGCTCCGCTCCCCGTCCCCTGTGTCCCCGGTGCCCCAGCCACTCCATCCCAGGGCTCTGCTCCCCGTCCCCGGTGTCCCCAGTGCCCCCAGCCCGCTGCCGGCCTCGGGCCCGCCCCGGCCCGGTGCCCGCGGTGCCCCGGCGCGGTGTGGGGTCGGGCGGTGACCTTGTCACGGCGGACCCGGTGCGACACTCACCGGCGGCGGCGCGTGCCCCACGTGCCGCCTGACAGCCGGGGCGCGCTGTGATGACGTCAGGCGGGGCCGCCCTCGACGCCGCTTCTGCCCGGCCTCCGCGCGCTCTGATGGCGTCACCGCCCGCCCCACGTGGGGCGGCTCCGCTTCCGACCCCGACCCCGATCCCGACCCCGATCCCGATCCCGATCCCGGCCCCGCCGCGCTCCGCTGCCTCGGGCGGTCACCGCGCCCCGCTGCCCGCGCTGCGGGGGGCCCCCCGCGGCCCCGCTCGGGTCCAGAGGCCGCCCGGCCCGCGGAGGGGAGAGACAGCCCGGCGCCATGGGCGGGGTCGCGCTGCTGCTGCCGCTGCTGCCGCTGCTGCTGCTGCCCCGGACCGCCCGCGGGGCCGCAGTGAGCGACGGGGCACGGGAACGGGCACGGGAACGGGGGGCTGGGGTGGGCGGAGGATGCCCCAGATCGGAGGTGCCAAGAGGTCAGGGAGTGCCCGGGACGGGGGGACCGAGGGTCGGCGAATGCCCGGTCCGGGTGCCCGCATCGCGGCTGCCCCGGGCTCGGGGGGTGACCTGGGGGCCGGGGATGCCCCGCGGTTCGGGGGTGACCGCCTTGGAGGTGTCCGGCGGTCGGGGAAGTCGGGGGTTGCCCCGAGGCCGAGGGTTGTCCGGGGATCGGGGGGGTCCGGGGATCGGGGGGGCCCGGGGTCCGGGGGTGCCCGGGGTCGGGGGCTGCCCCGGGTGCCGGCGCTGCCCATGCCCTCCTGCCCCCCCCAAAAGGTGTGCGGGAGCTGCTCGGGGCCGCCGCGGAACGGCTCCATTGTGTCCCGGTTCTGTGAGTCCCGGGGAGACACCGAGAACGACGGGCGCTGCTGCCGGGAGAGGGGCCCCCCCCCGGGGCGGCTGCTGGGGTACGGGGGGCTCGGGGGCCACGTGACGGGGGTGCTCGGGGGCGGGGGGTGCCGGAGTGGGTGTTTGGGGTCACAGGGGAGTCAGGGGAACGGCGGGAGTGGGGGGTGCCTGGATGGAGGACATGCAGGGTGGAGGTGTGTGGGGGGGGGGGGGGGCCCAGGGGGGGGGGGGGGGGGGGGTTGGGGGGGGCACAGGGGGGTGATGGGAATGTGGGGGGGCGGTATGGGGGGTACCAGGTGTGCTACTGTCCCCCCCAACTGCTGCCCCCTCCCAGGCTGGACCTGAGCAACTGCTCCCTGCACAGTGTCCCCCCGGAACTGGCCGAGGCCACCGCTGCCATCGTCCTGTGAGTCCCCTGGGGCCCCCTCTGCCCCCACGAGGAGCTGGGCTGGGGTGGGTTCGGTGGGACCCCCCAGGGGCCCCATGCCAGCACAGCCCTGCCCTGCTGGTCTCAGCACCCCAGGGGACACTGGCCACTCTCTGCCCTGGTGGCAGTCGGGGACAGTCCCCCCAGCCTGGATGAAGGGAAACTACTCCCGTGCCCAGTGGGAGCGTGGGACAGACCCTCCTGGAGCTCTGACACACACGGGGTGACAGGGGACAGCTGGTGCAGCTCCACCGGGGCACACGTGGCTGCCCATGGTGGAGGGGCTGTTCCACAGTCCCACACAGCCTCCTTGTCCCCAGGCTGGAGAGATGGGGGCGGGGGGTGGCTCAGCTGGACGGCCCCGCCCAGGACACTGTCAGGGCTGGGTGTGCAGAGCTCAGGGCACCCCGCTGGGCCCAGCTCCGGGTCTTTGTTAACGACGTCAGTGACCGAGCCCCTCCCTCAGCAGCTCCACAGGGAGCCCTGAGCCCTGGGGGGGACGGGGGGCTGCACCCCCAGGGCCCTGGGGGAAAATGGGGGGTATGGAAGCTGCCTGAGGTTCAGTGAGGTCCGGAGGGACCCCAGTGCCCACCAGGCCGGGGGTGCGGGACCGGGCTGAAGGTCCGTCTGTTCACAGGGACCTGACTGAGAACCCGCTGACGTCCCTCCCCAACGACTCCTTCCTGGGCTTCACCCACCTGCAGCTCCTGTGAGTGCCGGGGGGTCGGGGCTGGGGGGTCCCCGCAGTCTGGTGCTGAGCTCTGTCCTCAGCGCGGTGCCGCCGGCGCTGGAGTGTCCGGGCGGGAGTGACGCCTGGCAGGATGTGACAGTGGACGGGAGCATCCGGCAGTGCCGGGGCCAGAAAAACGCCTGCAATGGCTCCGTGGAGCTCGGTACGGCGGGGGGACCGTGACCCTGGCAGGGGTGCCTGGGGCTGGCAGTGGGGTCTGGCCTGGGCCCCGTGACCCCCCACTCTGCTCTGCCAGCCTGGCTGTGTCCCGAAAACTCTGCGTGTGCCCCCGATGGCCCCGGCCTCGTCCAGTGCCTCTGTGACAGCCCCTTCCACAGCTACAAGTGCCTGCGCGAGGTGAGCACCAGTGGGACGGGACCCCTCTCCGGCTGCCCCCCAGATGGATCAGGGAGGGCTTTGGGGGGCTGCAGGGGGTGGCACCGCTCACCGCTGCTCCTGGGCAGGGCACGTTCCCGGTACTGCTCTTCAGTGGGATCCTGGGCACTGCCACCATATCCCTGTCCCTGCTGCTGTGGGGCACCCAGCGGAGGAAGGCCAAGACCCCCTGAGTGGGGCAGGGGGCTGTGGATGGGCAGGGGACCCCCTGGCCTGGGGGTCTCTGTGCCCAGGCCTGGCTGTCCCTGTGGCTACCAGGGATCAATAAAGCCACAGGTTCTCACCGTGTGTCCATCCAGTTCCTTTCTGGGGAAGGGAGCAGGGGCTAAGTGGGACCATCAGTTCCTTTCCAGGGAGGGGAGCAGGGGCTCGGTGGAACCATCATCGATAGGGGAGAGGACAGGGAGGTGCAAATCGCCCCCCCCCCCCTTGCAGGCTGCAAATGGGGGGAGAGACAGGCAGTGAGCCCGGGGCGCTCTTGGTCAGAAGGAACTGGGATCAGAAGGAACTGGGATCAGAAGGAACTGGGATCGAGCAGAAGAAACATCCCATCCCTGCAGAGGAACTGCCTAAAAGAAACATCCCATCCCTGCAGAGGAACTGCCTAAAAGAAACATCCCATCCCTGCAGAGGAACTGCCTGCCGAGCATCAGGATGCTCTGATGCTCCGGCCCGGAAAAGTGCAGGATGCACAACAGGGTGCCGGGAAAAAAATCAAACACAGCACAATTAGAGTGCTTCCTCATTTACCGCACTGTTTTTGAACATCACGATCAGGGGAGAGCGCGAACGCAGTCCCCCACTACCACAAATTATGCAG